TACTAGATTTGATCAAGTTTTTGTTGAGTTATATTTGTTTAAAATTTAAAAAAAATTCATTAAAAAAGATTTGGTGCATTTTTATTGACTCACCCCCATATATTAGATATAAGGTTCTAATTTTAGTTCTTGTGAGGTTTTTGGGGTTTTTAATATTTTACTTAGAATACCTAATTCTGTTTACTTAGTATATTTTGAGAAATAGGAATCTATGATATTGAATACTGTAGGTGTATTTTAGTAAACTTGTTACAAAAACTATAAATTTCTTTAAATATAATTATAATATAATTAAAATATTTTTATTATATTTTTAAAAGAAAATTACTAATTTATATTTTAGATAATTATTACCTGTAATTAATTTGCCAATTAAAATTCAAAATTAAATATAATATTTCAGATAATTATTATCTGTAAGTAATTTGCCAATTAAAATTCAAAATCAAATATAATATGTAAATTAATTTTATATAATAAAACAAAAATCTTTTATATTTAAAATTCTGCTTATAAACCTATTTTTTAAGCTCTAAAAAAAGAATATTTTTGCTAAAAATAATTCAAAGATATAGAAAACAAGAATAAAAAAGAGTTCAAGTTAAATAGTCTTTTATTTTACTGCATTTTAGATGATAAATCAATAGTGTATACACCTTATCTAATAATCTAAATTAGAGATGTATTAGCTATAATCTGAGACAAACAATAGTTTAAAGCACAATATATATAGAATTATAATCTTATTTATCAACAAATAAATTCACAAGCAATATATACAAGTATATAAAAAAATTTTTTGTATAGTTTTGCACAGATTTACAAAGAAATTAAATAACAAATTATAAAGCTTCAAATTTTTTTAATATTAAAATGAGATCTTGCCTTTATTTTTATCAAATTTAATAAAAACTTTCTACATAATTGGAAAAGGTTTTAAAATTTAAGCTTAGTACTAAAACAAGAACTCAAATATATAACCAAGTAAACCTAGAAATCTATCTGTATTCTAAACTTATAAACTTCAAATTTGATACTATAAATACAGAAATTAAATATAATTTTTTATAAAACTTCAAATTTTAAAAAATTTTACAAAACATTTTACAAAATCTGCAAAAATACAAATATTGCAAATTTGTACTTGATTTTTTTTGATATACTTAATATTTGAAGTTGATATATAACTATTTTTTATAACTTTTATATTATTTACTTTTGCTTACATTTAAATTTTAGTTTCTAATTCTTATTTTTTTTATAAATTATATTTTTAGTTTTATTAAACTTTTAATTTAGTTGCCTAACAAAGTTGGTTTGGGCTTTAGATAATTTATAATTTTTCCTTTTCTAGTATAATTCTGGTAGCCAGATTAATATATCTTTTTCTTAAAATTTTTATTATCCAATTTTTTAATTTCGACAATAATTTTAACATTTTTAATATTTTTATAAATTAAATATCAAATAACTATTTTATTTGATTTAGTTTAATTTTAACTAACTTTTAATATATTTTAAATTAATTTTTAATAATAAAAAATTAATTTTACCAATTTTATTATTAAATAATTTCAACAATTTTAACAAACCTTTTTATTAAGAAAGATAATTTCACCTTTATTTATAAGTATAGCATTAATTATATAGATAGCCTATTTCTCTGTAATTTTAGCATATTTTAGTTTATTTAGTTTCTGAACAAAGTCTTGTTTAATTTTCTTTAAAGTATATTTGTTGTCAATAGTATAGTTGATGAAGGTTCTGAGAAATCTGAATAATTACTTAGGTAGTAGATTGTCTATTGGTTGATTTTAAAAAATAATAGATGTTGTGTCTTTAGGATTGTTGTAAAAGAGTATAGATTTATAAGATCTTTGCTATCTGGTAGAAGAATAATGCTATTATAAGTATTTGCTGAAAGTCACTATGGTTTAATGAAATTCAAGTTGTATTATCCATGAGGCTATGACTAAAGTTGAGGTAGAAAGTAAAAAGTTTGGCTTGTAAGATCTTGAGGTTATTGTATATCTAGATAGTTTGGTTGAGATATATTGTATAAGGAGGTTGTAAAATATATACCAGAAATTTGGTAAAATAGTTTCTTTCTAGTTAATACCATCTTCAACTTTGTAGATACAAGTTTTTCTAAGAGAAGTAATGACTTGGTTGTAGCAGTTAAATAAGATATAGAATATTAGATTAATAAATTGTTGTGGTATTTCAATATGAGTAAAAGCATGTTAGAGTAGAGAAATATGAACTGTGTTATAGACTTTAGACATATCCTGTAATAGAATCCAAAGCTCTTTGTTGTTTATATAAATATCTTTTTGTAAATATATAATGATTTGAATAGGTTGTAATATTAATGTTAGGGATAAAACTACATTGTTAGCTAAAAATAAGTAATTATATTTAATTAGAATTGTGCTTAGACATGTTGTTAAAATTTTTGCGAAAATTTTTTGGGGTGTTTTATTAGCATGATGAGCATGATAGAGTAGGTTAAGCTTAAATCTCTGTTTTGGTAACCTTTTTTAGAGATTGGCTAAACTAGACCTTTGTGCTAGATATTAAGAGTTATTTGTAGAGTGATGCAGTCATTAAATATTCTTGCTAATACTTCAATTGCAACCAAAGATAGTTTTTTTAGTATTTCATTAGAGATGAGAGAAGGGTCTGTTGTTTTATTAGTGGGTGATGCATTTATTGTTTTTTAGATTTCTTGTACTGACATAGTTATTAGTAAATTGTTGTAAATTGATGGAGTGATTATATTAAGAGGTTTGTAGCAAGGTGTCTATTGGAGCTACAAACTTAGTTTGTAAAAGTTGTATTTAGTCTATTTGCAAAAGTGTTGTGTGGTGGTTTCTTTAATTTTGACAGATGAGATAAGTAAACTGTTGTTTGTTGCAATATTAAAGAAAGTGATATGGTGCAAGTGTGTTTGAGAATACAAGTCACTCTCGTTATAGTGAATCTTTGATATAGTGAAGATTGGCTTATAGTAAATTATTTTTTTGGGACAAATCTATTACTAATAATTTTTTGCTTGATATAATGAAGTTTAATAGTAAACTCGCGATATAAGATATAGTGAAGATTTTTTTGAACAGGTATAATAAAATGTCTTATGATACAACAAAGATCACATCATGTGACATTTTTTAGCCAATCATATTGATGTACCGGTATCATACTAAATTGATATGCATAAATGAGCACTATCATTATACTGAGGTAAAATTACTTGACATTTTTGAACTTTAAAAATTATTATTTTTTTTTTTACTTAAAGAAATTAACCATCTACTTGAGCTAGAGTTCCTGCAATTTCATGAAACTTATAAAGTCTATTGAATTTTATGTGTTTTAAAGAAAGAAAATTATTGGCAGAGGTGCTTCACTTTATAAATATCTCAATATATGTAAAAGTCTACAATTAGATAACCACTATTCCCGGAAAATGTTTCAGCAAAAGCAAATAAAATTAACTACTCGAACGGATTATAAGGAGGGGCAATATAAAACTAATTTGTTTTGGCAAAGTGCGTCTTGTGGCGTTTATGCTAAAGATTCAAAAAAAAAAAAAAAAAGATTCAAAAAAAAAAAAAAGATTCAAAAAAAAGACTTTACTCTAATATTTACTTTATAATTACCAAAATATTATCCACATCCACAGACACTTTTTTTTTTTTACATATTTTTTAAAATTAAAACCTTGGGCAAAAAGAGCGGTAGTCAAACTTTTTACAATAATTGGGCTAAAAACATCTGTTAATACACTTTTCAAACATACAACTGCATTCTTTGGATCACGATTCTATAAATTACAAAAATTGTTAATTTTTTTTTGCACCTAAATGAAATTTGGTTTTCTTGAGCAGGACCTGGCTCTAGAGACATAATATCTCCAATAGCTTGTTGACCAAATTTCATTTTGGTATAAGAGATCATGCTTTTTCTTATTTTAGAAATATCCCTTTTTCATTTATTTTTTTTTTTTTCTTATTCACTTAACGATCCAATTCGCAATTTATAACAAAGATAGCTTTTATAATAGCAATAGTTTTTCAAGAGCCAAAAGAAAAGAAAAAGAGAAAAAGTCTTACCAGTAGCCAGAAAGCTAAAGTATGTCAACTAAGACAAGAAGGAGTTAGCCAAGTTAAAATAGCTGAAAAATTTAGTGTTGCCGAAGCAACAATTTCAGGTATTGTGCGAAAAAAAAAAAGGTGGTTGGCACTTAATTTAATTCTTATAGTGCTTCTTTGAAGCGGCAACGAACCAGAAAGTTTTCTCTGTTGGAGGAGGCACTTGCCTTCTGGGTATCACGAGCTAATACTGCACTATAGACAATTACAGGTATAATAATTCAATGTAAAGCAACACAACTTGCAAAAAAGCTTGAAGTGACAGGTTTCAATGCTTCCGACGGGTGGCTCTCAAAATTTAAAAAATAGCATCATATAAAAGAATACAAATAGTTAGGTGAAGCTGCAAGTGCGTCTCTTGAGGAGCTTCCCAAATTTCGTACTGAGTTGCAAGAATTAATTAATAAGTACCATCCTGAAGATATTTATAATGCTGACGAGACAGCATTATACTGGCATATAGAACCTGATAAAACATTAGCTAGTGGTCTGACTTTAGAGCAAAAAAAGGCTAAAGATCGGGTTACAATCTTACTTACATGCAATACAACTGGTGACCACAAACCCTCCCCTCTGTTTATACATAAATTCAAAACTTCTAGAGCTCTTAAAAATATTGATAAATCTATCTTACCTGTGTATTATTACTGGAATAATACTGCTTAGATGCAGACATCTATTTTTAATCATTATGTTAAGAATCTAAATAACCAAATACGACTTTCTGGTTAGTTTATTTTTCTTATATTGAATAGTATATCGACTCATGGACTTAAAGAAGACTTAGTCCTTACAAATGTAAAGCTTCATTTTTTCCCTTCATATACAACAGCACATCTCCAACCATGTGATGCAGAAATAATTTTAAGGTGATTAAGGCCATACAAAGTTAATTTTTGGTTCTCATACTTATAAAATTAAATGTTAGTAAGGAGGACCAAAAAATAACTTCGTATAATTTAGATAATTTTTATAACATTTTATTAGAAAATTATTAACATTTTGCAATATAGGCACATTATAAAAAAATATTCTGTGAAGATCGTATAGATGTGTTTGATACTTTTTTGGAATCTGGTGATTCTCCCGAACCAATAACTATCAAAGATGCGATCGATTTCGTTACTGCTGCTTGGAATAAAGTAATACTCAAAACTATCCATAGCTATTAGAAAAAAACTGGCATTTTGCCAAAGGATTTTCTAAGTGAATTGTTCTCATTTGAAGAACTTGACCAAGATAATAAACCAAATATTACTAGTGAGATTCAGAGTTTAATTAGGTGATTTCCTTTTGACCAACCTATGAGTGCAGAAGAGTATATAATTGCCGATACTAACCTAATTACTACTGAAATGCCAAATGATGATGAGATAATTGAAGCCGTAAAGAATCGTGAATGTATTGAACTAGGAGATGAAGTCCCAAATAAACTAATATCTTTTACAGAAGCTTTAGAATTTATCAATAGGATCTTATTGTTTCTCGAACAGCAACCAGATGGTAGTTTTAAAGTTAACGAATCTCTTATTAGAAATTTAAGAAAACTAAAAAAGAACGTGAAGCTGAAATATATTAATTCAAGTCGACAAGTCATCTTAGATCCATTCATTTTTGGATAAAATCTTTGAATTTATTTTTTATTTTATTTTTTTTTTTGAAATTTGAATTTTTTTTTTTTTTTGAAATTTGAATTTTTTTTTTTTTTTGAAATTTGAATTTTTTTTTTTTTTTTTTGAAATTTGAATTTTTTTTTTTTTTTTTTGAAATTTGAATTTTTTTTTTTTTTTTGAAATTTGAATTTTTTTTTTTTTTTTTTGAAATTTGAATTTTTTTTTTTTTTTTAAATTTTAATTTTTTTTTTTTTTTTTATAATTTTTTTTTTTTTTTTTTTTTTTTTTTTTTTTTTTAAATTTTTTTTTTTTTTTTTTTTTTTAATTTTTTTTTTTTTTTTTTTTTTAAATTTTATTTTTTTTTTTTTTTTTTTGAAATTTGAATTTTTTTTTTTTTTTTTTGAATTTTGAATTTTTTTTTTTTTTTTGAACTTTGAA